AAAGGAAGGGAAACTTCACGTGAAAAAGTAATGACGTTGGACCACAACCTTAACAACCAGATACAGTATACGTTAGTAATCATAAAGTAATTTTCATATTGAAGAAACTCTCGAAAGACTACAGGAAGAAACATCTACCTGTTACAAGTCTCCTCTCAGGGTTAACTCTGGTTAACCAACCAGAGTGGTATAGATTAGGTGTTAAGAGACCCTGTGACTCTTTCAACAAATCGTAGTACTCCCTGTGACAGGACTCTTAATTCTTCTAAATCTTTCCTTCCTGTTGTGGCTAGAATGTGATTCTTCTTTATACACTGTACCTATGTTGTGAAAACCATAATGCTCTGGACCTTAGGTGAAAAGCATTTTCGAATTTGAGCCCCATAATTTCCTTTCTTTACAGTTATCGCCACCTGGTTGCACTGCAGTCAACTCAAATGATACTTCCGATTCTCCTCCTGACTCTTGTTATGGTGCCTGGTGTTAGTGTCACTCAAATGCAAAATCCCCAAGGCTCCCTAATTTCACTCTTTGCAAAGTCATATGGCTGCTACCTATTAATACCCCGCCATCCCCACTTTCCTCGTGTTATTTGCTGCCATTGGCTGGGTTCACAGCCTCGTTGCCCTCACCTCAGCTGATGCAGCAGCCTCCTGGCGGGCCTCCCCGCGTCCCCTCACTGGGCATACCATCACTGTTGATTATCTTCTCAAAAATCCCTCCATAGGCTCTACTGATGGCACTTCTCAAAGAAAGTTCTCCACCCCCAGACATGGGTCCTTCGGCTTCTTGCCTCAGAAGCACAGCAGCCAGCACCACGGGAAGGTTAAGATGAAAGGATGATGGCAGAGTCACCAAACCTGTCAAACTCACAGCCTTCCTGGGCTCCGAGGCTGCATGACCCACATCAAGAGGTGGATAAGCCAGGATCCAAGAGGGCAGTTGAGGAGGCTGTGACCACTGTGGAGACACCACCCCTGGTGGTGGTGGGCTATATGGAAACCCCTCGGGGCCTCTGTTTCCTTTAAGATCATCTATGCTGGACCCACCCTGGTAGCACAATGGGTTAAAGCACAACACCAAGAGCTATCAGTGCCACTGCAACACAAGTTCGATCCCCTGCCAGGGGGGTGACCTATATGGCACAGCAGAATTCCCCTGACCCACTCACTGCTCCCCTCAGTGTATTTCAGTCCATTTGCCTGTTCTGCTCTGATGAATCCTCTCACTCCCCCTACACCTCTGGCTTATCCCCCAGTTCTGTATGTATAAATATATAAATATATATATATATATTTTAAAGGGTCCTCCCTGGTGGTGCAGCAGGTTAAAGTGCAGCACTGTAAGCGAGCTGCAGCCACTTCAGTGCAAGTTCAATTCCTGGCCCCAGAGGTGACTACATGGCATGGCAGATCTCTCCTGTCTGGCCCACTTCTCCCCTCAGCGATGTACTTTGTCAGTCTATCTGTTCTGCTTCCCCTTCTGTCTGTGGCGAATCCTCTCACCGCCCCTGCGCCTCTGGCCTGTACCCTAGTTCTGTATGCATGAATAAAATAAATCTTTGGGAAAAAAAAAAGGTCCGTCTTTTGGAGATCTGGGAGGATAGCCACCCAATAGCCTAAAAGCTGCCTGGGTCAAAAAGGGGTCACCAGCATCTTGAACACCAAGAACTGCCTCGCAAGACCCACTGACGCCTACGCCAGGCTGGCATGTGGGCGCCTGGCATCCGACTGAGTAGTCTTGTCTGTGGCTCTGGCTGGGCACAAAGGCTGTCATCTTAGCACTGAGATCTCCATGGTTAGGCTTACTCAGGAAAATTGAACTACAAAGGAAGAAAGAGCTCAGTGTCACCAACAGTCTGTGCAGCTGGTGGGACCTTAATAAAATTTATTTTCCAGTTGGAGGAAAATTACCTTACCTTCCATATACAATCCCTTAGGATAAGTTTACATTTGTATGGTCTCTGAGCATCTTAATTTAATTTCAGATAAACTTTTTGGTGCCATTTCTACCTTTCCGCTGAACAGTCCTGAACTTCTGCCACAGTGATTTCTTTCTGTTCCCTAAATCAGTGCTAAATCCTAACTTACTTCTCTATAAAAAAGCTCCTACTTATCCTTTTTAAAAAAACAGTTTAAAATATCACTTCTTCCCCACCCCCAACTTCTGGCCCACTCACCTCCCTACCCATAGGACTCCATGACCACTTGGCACTTTATTTGATGGTGATTCATCCCCCTTTCCTCTTTACCTTCCTCTTTACCTTCCTTTTTGTGAGCTGCTCTTGGGGACCCCTCACCCCCCATAGTTTTGGAGCTCTGGCACATAATCTTACCCACACTTGCCCATGGAAAGATGTAATGCTGAACAGACAGCTTAAACGGAACCTTTACCTCCAAATTTGAATTATTTGAATTAATAAACCTAAATTTTAGTACAGTACATGAAGAGACTGCATATCACAGAATGTGAACTTAGAGGCATACGCCCCAAGTGTATGAGTTACCCCAGTTGTCCTGTGTACACTGACCTCCACTGACAGCTGCAGCGGCGGATCTTGATGGAGATGGGTGTCCTAGAAGCAAACCACACTCCGCTGCTCTAGGGCTGAGAGCTGGCAGGTGATAAGTGACCCCTGAGAGCAGTGTCTGGAAGGTTCCATGATGTCAATAGTGATTTTCTCCAGGGTTGGGGGAGTAGAGGGAAGCTGATACTCTGTGTCATTACTATTTCCCAACTTTTTTGCAGTGAACAAATGTGACTTGCTAAGAGGAGGATGGCGCCCTGGCACCTTCTTTCTAGTAATTGGTGCAGCCCCAGGAGCAAGAGGCGCTGGGTGAGCAGGTCTCTTTGCAACATGCCCCAGGCCCTTGCAGACCCCATTCCTTCTCCAGGCTCCTGCCTCCCTGTGCTTTTATAGGGCTGGTTTTGTTTGTGTGTGTGTGTGTGGTTTTTTTTTTTTGTCTTTTTTTTTTTTTTTTTTTTTTTTTTTTTTTTGCTACTTTATGCAGCAAACCAGATACCATACCATGGGACCATTAGGTACTCTTCTAAGCACTTTGCAAATTATTAACTCATTCACTTCTCATAAGAATGTAATAGCAATGATACGCCATATCTATGATAGATGATAGTCTTTGTTATTCTCATTTACCAATAAGGTAATTGCAGACATTTTGGAATGAGGTGTTTTGTTTTTTTTTTTTTTAATTTTTGCATTGCTGTTCATTTTCTTACTGCCCTACATCAGAATTTCAGAATTTCTTTTCTAAAATGGGTATTTAAGTCTCTGTATTCCCTTAGCATCTTTTTAAAACATGGTGCTCACCACAGGCTGACAGAAAGATTAAGGGGATGTGGTATTCATGCATGGAGAGGAAGAGAATAGAGAAAGTGAGAGAGAGCAGGAGAGAGAGAACAAGATGCACTGGTGAATGGTAGCCAGGTCCAGCAAGATGTCTCCTGGAAGCTGAGATCCTACCAGAGCAGTTGCTTCTGAAAGTCTCATACTGCCGGTGAGGGTGCAGACCATCTCCTGGGAGTGGGTACGGGGTCCCAAGGTGTGGCTAGAGGGAGGTTTGTATAGATGAAGCAATTTGGATCATCAGGGATAGGGGGTGGCTGGGTCACTCCAGGAATAAGAATAATGTTATTTTTCTCCTTCCCCTTCTATTCTCTATTGTGTAAATATCGACTCCTCACCAAATCCCAAAACAATAACCCCTTAGTTTTACACAGCTTTTTGTATATTGGTTAATATTATCCAGTAAACATTTCTTTCATTGTACTTGTAATAATTTTTTAAAATTTTATTATAATAGTTTATTTTTACATCATTTTGTGCCTTTTTCCATCTCAGTTGTAATCCCCATGGGCTTCCCATCACCAGATCACCCGTGTGCCATCACCATAGCACAGTGCACTCTCCCTTTCCCCCATTTTTGATCCCATTCCCTACTCCACCCCCTGTAAAAAAAACCTCTGGTATATAGTTATTCATTATTATTATTACCACCCCCCCGCCAACCTGGTCCTTTATGCTCCTGCTATCAGTGAAACTGTCCAGTATTTTTCTTTTTCTTTCTGGCTTATTTCACTAAGCATGATCCCTTCCAGCTCTATCCCTGTTGCCGCAACAGGCATGAGTTTATCTTTTTGATCATCAAGTAATATTTCAATCTGTACCACATCTTTTTAATCCAGTCATCTACTTTTGGGCATTTGGGTTGATTCTATGTCTTTCCTGTTGTAAATAAAGTAGCAATAAACACGGGGGTGCAGGTGTCATTTTGAATCAGTTTTTTTTGTGTTTTTTGGGTAGATACCTAGGAGTGGGGTTGCTGGGTCATATGGAAGCTTCATGTTTGAGGAACCTCCAGTTTTCCATAGTGGTTGTAGTAGTTTGTATTCCCACAGGAGTGCAGGAGAGTTCCTTTTTCTCCACATCCTTGCTAACATTTGTTGTTATGAGTTGTTTCAAGATGTGCTATTCTCACTGGTGCATCTCCCTTATTACATGTACTTGAATAATTTTTAATTCATGTTATATATTAAGTTGTCTTGATACATGCTACTCTGAATTCTTCTTGATTATTCCCTGAGGGTGAACTCTCAGCTTTGAGATTACAGTGCCCAGGGGAGTGGAGGGAAAAATGTAATGGAGTTTGCACTTCAGATGGAATCCATAGAGTTTGGTGTGGTGCGGTCTTTGGTGCTTTTGGGGGGATTGTCACCAAAAGTTGAGAAAGAAAAGTGTGTACCTGAGAGGTCAGTGACAGCAAAAGGCAGCAGTTTCTCTGCTCTAGAGATTTTGGGGACATGTTTCTTGCAGTATTAGTATTTTGTACAATCTTAACTATAAAAAGAAGCACAATAGAGGTAATTATGGAAATGGTAATATTTTGAATCAGTGATTTCATTAACAAATGTTGTTAGCAGTAGCATTTTTCAATGTTATGCTTATTATGATTCTCCCCCCTTTTTCTTTTAACAGAAAAAAAACAGAAAAGGATTTATTGACGTTTCAAAGATCAAGTGTGTGGAAATAGTAAAGAATGATGACGGTGTCATTCCCTGTCAAAATAAATATCCATTTCAGGTGAGCTGTCATATTGTTTTTTGCAACAGTGTAATTTTGAGCTCTTAGTTATACTTGCTATTTGATGTTACCATTCCTGTCATTACCTTGGTGGTCCGTTTTTTTTTTTTTTAAAGATTTTATTTATTTATGCATACAGAACTGGGGTACAGGCCAGAGGTGCAGGGGTGGTGAGAGGATTCACCAGAGACAGAGTGGGGAGCAGAACAGGCAGACTGTCAAAGTACACTGCTGAGGGGAACAGCGGGCGGGTCAGGAGAGGTCTGCCGCGCCATGTGGTCACCTCCAGGATAGGCGGGAATCGAACTCATGCAGAAGTGGCTTTAGCTTCTTAGTGCTGTGCTTTAACCCGCTGTGCCACCAGGGAGGGCCCTGGTGGTCCGTTTTAAAAAATTTTTAAAAATCTATTGAGGTATAGGGCCACGTAGGAATTATATATATTACAGGTAGTCAAATTAATGCTTGATAAAATACGTATTTTGAAGTAATCACTACAGACAAACTATTAACATGTTCACCACTGGATCGCTACCCTTTTCTTTGCTTCCTGTATGTGATAGAAACAGAATCTGCCTTCTTAGCAAACTTTAAGTATACTATACAGTACTATTCACTGCAGTTACTGTGCTGTATGTTGACTTGCCTGAACTCATGCATCTTACAGAACTGAACTCTGTACCCTTTAACCAACACCTCCTCGTTTCCTCCCCCTGCCTCTGTCAATCATCATTCTGTTCTCTGCTTCTATGACTCTGACTATTTTGGATTTCACAAGGGTAAGGTCTTCCCAACTAATCCATGTTGTGACAAATGGCAGGATTTCCAGTTTTGAAAGAACTGAATGACATTCCACTGCATGTATACATACTGTACTTCTTTTTTTCACCAGTCCACAGATATTTATATTGTGTCTGTGTCTGGGTATTGTATTTAATGCTTAATGAATGTGGAATACATATATCTCTTCAAGATCTGTATTTTATTTCTTTTGGACATACCCACAGAAGTGGCGTTGCTAGGTCATATAGTACTTGATTTTTAGGTTCATTTGTGCTTTCATAATATTTATTTTTCTCAATGAACTGTTTGTCTTGATTGAAACTTTATCTTCTTCTTGGCTTGGTTTGTTGGAGTCTACCAAAATCCTGAGTTTATAAACCCCAGACCTAATTGCTACTATTCATATTTTTCACAGAGCAGCAGGATAGGAAATGAGAGCTGGGACTGTAGTGTTCTTTGTGACTGTGAGAAACTGAGAAGGGGCAGGAATGAGCTTTGAACAGAAGTAAAATTAACACCTGTGATGCCAAATAAAATTAGCATTATGTATTGATGAAGTCATACTTTCATAAAAATGTTATCATGTTATTTTTTTCTTTATGTTGATCCTTGTACAAGAGAGGCGAATACACAATTTTTATTATGACTAAGAAAATTGAGTCATTAAAAATAGTGACTTATCAAAGGTTACTTTGAATTCAAAGCCCTCCTAGAACATTCACTCACCAAGCTTTGCTGTCTCTGTTGGCTGGCCGCCATCTTGGTGCACATGTGTTTTGAGAAGTCAGGAATGCAGATTTGGACCCTGGTGTCCCAGGCTCTCTGCAGACAGCACAGGACCTGTCTTCCCCTTCTCTGGTTGAGGGTGTTTTTACACTTTCCTTTGGGCAGTGAACCTCACTGGTGACAGTGACCTTACACACACATGGATGGCCTTACAGTAATTTAAGGGGAAAGGATTAAAAATCTTTTTTTTTTTTTAACATACTATCATAGTAAAGTTCTGATTTTTTTTTAAAGATTTATTTATTTATTCATATGGAACTGGGGTACAGGCCAGCGATGCGGAGGGTGAGAGG